CAAATAATTATTTCACTTGGGTTATATATTTTAAACTTCACAGTAGCATGTTAGCATCAATGACATGATTACAGCCTTTTTCAAGAATACCAGAATGAAGAATGCCTGGTGGACAACAAAAACAAGCTCCACAACAGGGAATGTGAGTTTGTAAAAGACCACCACCTTCTTCACTGCAGTGATCATGAGTAGGAACACTTGAATTGAGGAAGGGGTCAGGTGAGCTGTCTCACTACACAGAAAAAAGGCAGTTGATGAGGTGCAATTCACTTACAATATATTTTTCCATGAGCAACTGAACATTTTAAGGGCATGCTGCAAATTTTTTTGACAACTCATAGCCTTAGAAAACAATAAAATCCATGTTTTCTGCTCTTGGGATTAGTATTAGTTGCTGTGATCTCACAATTCAAAAAACTGTAACTAGTTCTATTACAAGTGTTGAACAGCACCTGAAAAACAACAATCAATTTATTTTCTGCACTGCTCATCATTTTGTTACTATAGATCTGTCTCACAAAATCAATAACACAGAAAGCTGGTGTGGTGCTCTCCAAATCATTTGCCAGCTGCTGAAAAAAGGCTGCCAGGTAATTGTTTAGATTTCACCCAGTCTCGGGTTAAGACTGACTCAGCTCAGCAGAGCTCCTGATAATCATTCACTATTCTGCTTCTAATACTTATCTGCAGTAACAGGGAGAAATCTAGAGGTAAAGATCCTAGGAAAATAACTAGAGACATAATAATAATTAAGGAAAAAATAACTAGTATGGTTTCAATATTTTTATGTTCAAAACCTGAAAGTTTCATTACTATCTGTCAAAATTAAGAAAATTCTGTAAAAAGAAAGGTGATGAAGCAATCAGTGGGTCATACTTGCATTTTAATTTGTTTTTTTTAGTTTGCAACCAACTCTGATAAGTAGCAGGGAGGAGTTTGTACTGATTCTGCTTCCACTGCTCTGTTTGTGCTTTATGAATATGTGGCAGAGGAGTAATTCATGGACGTGCACTGAGCTGAGGTCCACGGAAAGCCTGCACATTTGGTAACAGTCCCAGTTTGGGAAACACGAGCAGAAAGAACGAGTCAGGGAAGAAGACGAGGGGCTGGGAGGGTCGTCCCCTGCATAGGATTTCAGAAAGTGAAAAATTAGAAGCAGTTTCTTTAAGGTATTTTTTATATCCTATTTCAATGATAAAAACCATTCAGTATTATGGAACTCCAGGATTGGTCTTCAATGACAGGAATGGGAGAAACACGCTGTCTTTTGTTTCTTCTTTCACTAGTGCACTTAGAAACTTCCCATCCCACCTTTGAAAGTCCTCAAGGTAATTTTGTTAAGAAATTTCAAAAGTTGGACTTGAGTTGCTACTAAACTATTACCCCATAAAAACATCAACAATATAGCCTGGATCCTAAACTACGGGTCAAGTGGCAAGGCATATAAAAAAATTAAAGATTTCTTAAATCAGTGATTAAACAAAAGTTTATGACAGCTACGTCAGAGTTTAAAGGCTCAGCCTCCTGACCAGTTTTGTCTTGTCCTTTCATTCAACAGTGGCTGTCCCCACCAGATTCTTACCAGATTTTATTTTAACTTGAACCTTCAAAATCAATGTTAAAATTTGGGCCCACTGACACAGGCCAGAATTTATAATCTACAAATTCATTTAACCAAAGCATTAAGCAACTGCAGCAAATAACCAGTTTTTCTGAATTTGAAATCAACCAGAGCAAAAGAATTCACAGACACAAATAAAGATGCAAATAAAAACCATAACCAGAGATATTTTTCTTATAGATTTTATGTACCACCTCATATCTTTCAGTTTTACATATGAACTATTCTCTGCAATAAAGTTTCAAATATTTGAGATTGTTCTTTGCATTTGCATTCTTATTAAAAAATTATAAAATTTTTGTTTAAGGAAAAATGAACATAGTAATTCAGCCTGGATGCATGACCTGTCACTGTGTGCTACCTACCAATTAATTTGATTTGATTAAATCTCATTATCCTCACACTTGCCCTCTATGATAGCATCACCTCTGAGAATAAAGATCTACAGACAAGTCAATGACAGCTGAACAATGTACTCAAAGCTACCCAGTAGATCATGTTTCATCAAGAAACTCTTTATCTTTGTCAAATGCAAGAGTTCCACTTAAACAATTTCACACTTTGTGATCTGTTGTCAATCCCTGCTTCAGAATTGTTGTGTTAACAGTCTTAGGGTAAACCCAAACCAAAGGAGGGTAAAACCAACTACACAATGACTATTGACGTGTAACTGTGCAGGAAAAGAAAGCAAAACTGCCACGTCTCAAAAAAAATCTGTCAAGTAACAAATGAGCACCTCAGAATATGATATTCAAAGATACCAGTTTGTGGCACAGATTAGTTGAACAGTACCCTAATTGGCCAACAATTTCATCAGACAGGGATTTTCATTTTTCATGATCACACTACCCTAATAAAGTACTTGGCATTAGCTGCGGCTTTTCAACTAAAATGCATTGAGGACACTAAGTTTTAAAATTACTAAGACATTAAATTTTACCAGCTTTTTTTTCATATAGTGTTTGCAAGAATTAGCAACTAAGTGTGTATTTCACCAGCAAAAGAATGAAAACTGTACTAATAAAACTTTTGCAAAGAATGGCAATATTTAATACACTAATTGCATATCAAATGAAAGCAAATAACAAATTTGCTGTTCTAATTAAAGGCTTATTTGTCAAATATCATATAATAGTTCAACTTATGATCAAGGGCAATTTAACAAACAATATGCTAGCTACATTTTCTTCTGTATCAGAAACAAAAAGGTTTACAGCATTGCAGAACAGTTCTATAAATTGTCTAGCTCAAGCGCTAACTTTAGTACCTGTTTGTGAAACTATCCTTCTACAGAAAATTCCAGGTAATAACTAAATAGCTGAGCCTACTCAACTGAGGATGCTGATGTGCAATTTCTTCAGGTATGCAAGTCCCTGTGGTTGCCCTACTTTAGCTTACAAAAAATTTCCCCTTTGCTTTGTTCAGGGTAGCATTCAGAAAGCTCAAATAGTGTAAATCACAGTTATTTTAGTTTCTAATATAAAATCATTACTTCAGATATATCTCCTGGCCCCTATAACCTTGCTGCTCAAAGAAACAATCACCTGCTGACAGTATGGGAGCTCAATAGCAGACTTCAAACCAGTTTTCATCTTGTTTTATCTCACTCACCTTGTACTTATGGAACAGTGTAGAGTTATGACACAAGATGTTTAACAGAAGCAGCCAATTTGGTATCACATTCCCACGCTAGTATCCTACAGTTCAATAAACTACAGTCAGTGAAGTAGCTCAGTTTTAGTTACACATTTTAATTGAGTACAATTTACACATTTTATATACCTCCAAGTAGTGCATCAAATTTGCTCAACAATAAGAATGCAGCTCACTAAAACAGATGTCTGATCCTCCAGCTTCCCCCAGTTCTTAATACCAGCTTTCTTTATTACTCCACATTAACTTGTATATAAATTAAGCATAACGTGTCTAAAATACCAGCTGTGCTGCAAAACGCTGCTGTAAGGCTAAATTTTTAAGTCCAAGTAGTTTCATAATCTATGTGCAGTTATTTATGGAGGCAGCAGGAA